CCAACAGACAAAGGAAAAATGTCTTCCATCAACAACTACGAGATTCTGCAATTATTTTTCAAATGAAAGAAAATATATATTTCAGTTGTAGCAACATTCTACTCAATACCTTAATGACATTTAATGCTATGAAACTAAATTGATTACAAAGTTACGAATATTATCGGGCGTAGAAGCCTTATTCAAATATGTTATTATAAACTATGAAATTAATTTAATATCGAAATTCATTTTGTCAATGGGGAAGAATCCTTTTATTTGATTATGACAGGTTCACTTGAAAAAAATGTATAATTAATCTTCTAAGTTTTGACATTGATGAATTCTTCAGACTTTATCATCGTTGCAAAGTTGTCTTTATTATTTTGATTAAATATTATAGTTGCAGCTGAATGATTCTCAAAGGAAAAGCAAAACAGAATTTGCAACTCTTTCCAAACGTATACGTAACATGTAAATGGATAAGTGAACCTAAAGATGTCTATAGTTTCGAAGAAGGAGTTATTCTCTCTTTCGCTTGCATTATATTTGCTAACAGTGCCTGTATTGTCTGCAGAGGAAAATCGGACCTTTCCAGGCGCAATTTTGACAAAGTTTAACTCTAGATTAAAAGGATTTACCTTTAAGTCCTGGGAAACTCCCAGTCAAATTTTCTGCAGTCAATCTTGCCTCTCAAGTTCAAGATGTCATTCGATAAACTTTAAAGAGATATCATCACTTCAACGCCGTGGCTTATGCGAGCTGAACGATGAGCATTTGATGGATTCTATGGGTATAGAGAACAATCTGATACACGAGGAGGGATTTGTCTTTTCCCGTTTTCCTAAAGATAATAAGGTAAGCAACACCAACTAAACGCCATAGCAGAATATAACAGCCAAGTTTCTCTTCGTTTCTCCCTTATTGCCAGGTTTGATATCGAATGGAAAGCCAATTCCCTCTGTACCTATTTAGCACTAATAGTAATTTGAAGAAAACCCGACACACATGAAAATGAAGATGAAAATGGCTACCGGTAAGGTGAACGAATGAAGATGAAAATCGCGCTGACATTTGTTCCAAATTCAGTCTAGTATACTGATTTTAGATGGGAAATCCAGAATTGCTGGGTAACAAATTTTGGGCTTATTTACTGAACCAAGAGCTCTTACAAGATATGTTTCGATTTTTTTAGCCGTTTTTTCGTTTTATAGCAATAGCGAAAGACTCACAGTTACCATGTTTTTTCAAATAAGGTTGGAAATTCACTTCTCCGAATGAAAGTATTTCATAAGTATATATTTCGGAATAACAGAACCTAGGCCTCATTGTATTTAATAGAAACCCCTGAGTGGAGAATACTGCAGGATTTAATAACTAAAACTGATAACACAAGAAACTCCGCATTAGAGCTTCCTGAAGAGAACAATGCGGTGGAAAAGAACGTGATACAGAACACTGAAGTTGTAACATCAGTGGTTTAAACTTCAAGAATGAATGAAACCCAGCTAAAAAAAAAAATTGGAGCTTTCTGATGAACACTACATTTAGTTATTCAGTTTATTAAAAATTGTACTCCGTTGTTTTTAGCGCGCGAAGCACATCCCACCGTAATTTGCATTTCTTTTTTCTATCTTTCTTTATTTTTAATTTAGGGTGGACAAGACATTTGCATATATGTTTCATTTGGCTGACAAGGGGCCTAAATTTTTTACGGAAATGTCTTTTGTACTCCGCTATTTAATATAGTCCAAGGATGAAAACAAAATTGCAATAGCTTGTCTGCCTGACAAGCTAAAATTACCTTTAAAAACCTCCATATTTGAATATCCGGCACCCTACCCTCTCAGACGTAAATTAGTTATCACCGTCTTTTCACGGGGCCTTAATTGAAGTATAATTGTCTGAATCACTTGACGATAAGGCATCAGAATGATGAGTTTCTTGACAAAGCGGCCCACACAGTTTTTATGATGGTCAATAAGTTGCCGGCTTCCAATGAATTTAAGTCCAATCGCCGTTTGAACTAAGCGGGTAAGCTGTTGTGATAAAATAATGAAAAAATATATGGCTGTCAGAGAAGAGAAAAAGAGAAAAAAGGAAACGATTGAATAACAAGAGCTTTGTTTGATAACTCTCGTCATTTCTAATAAATTAGTAGAGCTGAGTACAAGTTATTTTAAAATGAATGCTGGAGTCTCATAATATTTGGACAACACTACCAAAGTTGACTCAAATAATTACGCTACCTTATCGAGGAAATGATTGACAATAGAGATTCCCACGTATGGTAAACGTGAGTCTTTGCTTTGCTTGGGAAAGTAAATATTTTGTGATACAATAAGACAATTTCAAAACGAATCTAAAAAAAATAGTCGCTGTGGAAATTGACATGGTTTTATTTCTCTACGCTCTTAAAATTTATCTACAAAACTCACACCACCTTCTCAGCCAATAAAAATTAAAAGTGAAACCTTTCCTCGTCACTTTGTTTTCCTCTCATTCATGATACGAGCGAAAAATAGATAAAACGATAAATTAAGGAAGAGAAAACCTCGCTGATTATTGTACCACTGCTGGCACCGTGTGGGTTGAAAAGTCACACTAAGCGGAAGTATCTCCAACAGTCTGTATAACTATTCTTCAGACCAATCACATCAGCCTGGTCCTAAGTCTACACATTTAAATTTCAGAAAAATTCTGCATTTTACATGGTTGACGCCAACATCAATTACATTCTGTGCATGCAAGAAAATTCTGAGCCACCGGTAAAAACCTTGAAATGGTTCTTTTGAATTGCTTCAGTCATCTTAATGGCCGTATGTGTTCGATTGACAGAGGATTATTTTTTCTTTTCCGGTTGCCATGTCCTACTAAACTATCAGTTAGAAGCCGAGTCAATCAACTTGATAACTGTATTGACATAAGCCTCCTGGGGTGTGCTGATTGGATTAGCATACCCTAGGGTTACTCTACATGTATGAGTGTAGGATATCACATGAACGCGAGAGCATCCAATGATTTATAGATATGGGTGATGTTTTGAAAGTTTTCGTCACTGCACGAACCAACAGCGAAATTAAAGCAATTTGTAACCCTATCGAAATATCAAGAGCTCGCATGAATTCGTAGAAATTATTTTTGCTCATCTTAACATTATCCTCAGCAAAGTCACTTACAAGAGGGTCTTGATGGGGAGATGGGTTTTACGGCTAACGATTAAATTCACTCTTTTGTGATTAAAAGAAAAATTTTTACTGTTCACCTTAGTTACAACTAATGATTGATATTTGTGTTTCTACGCCTAACGGCCTTGTACGTCATCGTTATTTCCTATTTGCCTTTCAGGATGATTGTCAATGGCGAAGTTGTCAAAATAATGGCGTCTGTGTATTCATTAAGCAACATTATGCATGCTCTTGTGATGTACCATGGACGGGGAGCTTTTGTGAAACAAAGATTGGTAAGTTTTTTCAATGTTTTGTTTCTTCCAAAGATCTGAATAGTTTTCCACTCACCTTCAGCCGTGCAAATTTGTGGAAGCAAAAGAAATAACTATAAAAAATATATGTGAAAAATCTCACAAGTTGCTTGATTGAAAAATGGGTTCAGTTTATTGTTTAATTACACCAATTTGGTCGCTGCGATGTCATGTGACAACGCTCTCATCTCGTGCCCAGATCCTACCGTTTAACTGCAGCTGCTTGGAAGTGAAAGGGTACGAGACTGAAAACGCTTCACATACCAATTCAAAGAGAAACTATACGGTAGCGCTTCATCCACGGTGACTTGTTCTTACGGGGGGCCTCTCCTTCGACAACTGAACAGGCTTTTGATGATTTTATTTCTAATCGTCAGAATAAATAAAATTTTCTTAGTGTATGAAGCACTTATATGGTAGATTGTTATCAAATAAATTGATTATATTTCTGTTAGTCTGGTACAATTTTACATCGCTGGGTGCGAACGGAAGAAATGGCCCTGACAGCAACGCCGGTTATAAAGGAACTGGACTCAGGGACGTGCAAGTGAACAATGGAAAACAAGAATGGATTG